AATTGTGAGGGTGACACATGTCACAAAACCACACTTTCTGAAGCAATTGGCGATTTCACTTAAGGAATTCAGGATTTGTCACTTATTCAGAATTTGAGCCCCAAAAGAGTGACGCGCCCACAACACTTCTGGTACTTATTTAGGATCTATATATATATATATATATATAGAGAGAGAGAGAGAGAGAGAAGGCTACATTCACTCCCCCTATAGAGTACTCGATATTCCTTGGGGCTTGTAAATAGTAGTAAACCATATCCACGTATCTTTAATTTAGAAATTGCAGATTATAAAAATATTCATTTAAAAAAAGGATGGCTTCAGGATGGTTGTCCACGTGTCATCTTATCAGCAGTTGCCTTAGCTTTAATGAGTATGTTAAGCGGTTTACATGCAAATTCCAGGTCAAAAGTAAATAAAACTGGTGAACACATTGGTTACATAATCTTTGTACGAAATAATTTATTTTATATATATATATATATATAAAGTGGAAGGTTTATGAGCCGACAAACAGCTGAGGTCATCGCCGGCCCTCCGCATGTATTCCTTCTCTTTCCTGTCTTTCTCGCGTATTTTGTATTGAACTGCAGCCATTTGAGCATCTCGATCTGGTTACTGACTCTCTGCTTTTACTTGTATATTACGTCGTTATTTTAAAAAGCTAGCCTCTTGTTAGTACCTCAGGTTGTCAATTTAAGAATAGATACACAACATACAATACATAACATATATATCGCCACAAACATAGAAGTCTGGTCACATTCACTCCCCCAGAGTACTCGATATTCCTCGGGGCGGGGTTGAACCCACTCCATTCGCGCTAATAACTTACTTTTACTCTCCAGACGTCACACACTCACCCCAGAGTACTCGATATTCCTCGGGGCGGGGTAAATAACCCCTTCCTTTCATGCTTAAATTACATTCATTCCAACAGAGTAAAATATAAACAACATACAATACTAACATAAAAGTCTGGTCACATTCACTCCCCCAGAGTACTCGATATTCCTCGGGGCGGGGTCGAACCCACTCCATTCGCGCTAATAACTTACTTTTGCTCCCCAGACATCACACACTCACCCCAGAGTACTCGATATTCCTCGGGGCGGGGTAAATAACCCCTTCCTTTCACGCTAATAAATTACGTTCATCCTAATGTAATAACATAAACACCACACAAACACGACACAAACACTTCAGACACAACACAAGCACAGAACAAACACACATAAACTATATACATTTGAAGATCCCTATAGCCCTGAGGTACCGGTACAGCGATTTGTGCCCGCTGCCGTGCCCCAAGACTACGCACAGGTCCGACGATATTCCAAAATATTGCCTATAAACGTCGAGCCTTCTACAATTGAAAAGGTGCTCGACTGTTACTCTATCTTTGCATAATGGGCACCTTTGCGGTCGCTTTCCTGCTAGAAGGTGCCCGTGTGTAATCCTTGTATGACCTATGCGTAGTCTTGTCAGTATGACCTTTTCCCTTTTTGACCCATTTTCCGTGAACCAGGGACCGACATCTTTCTTAACCTGCCACAGTTTATTTAATAATTCATAATTTTTGCTTATTATTACAATAATCATCTTTGAGCCTTTGGAAGCATTTTATAATGAGAAACTGCTTTTAAGTAATAAATTATAACTAAAACTCTTAACTATATAACCAACAAAATTGAAGCAACTAATATAATTGACTGTTTTTTTTATGTAAAACGTCATCCATTAAGTAAAAATTCTTCATTTAGAAGATGACATGACGCGTAACAAAGTTTCAGGAAAAATGAATAATTTGATGATCTTACAATTTTGTCATTTGCTTCCGTTCTTTACAGTTCGAGTAACAATATCCAATATTCCATTAGCTGAATGTTATTTTATGGACAAAGGATCCTCGTCAGTTTGTAACTAATTGTAAGTGTCGATTACGCATTTTGATTTTGACCATAACACGGTTTATATTGCCATCAACTCCTGCTCATTGTCTCAGATGTGTTTTTGTGCTTGTTAATTGACCGACTTAATTGGCATCGACATTTGTATTGTATTTCACATTCCATTGTCTCCTGTGATCATCAGGCGCCGCTCTGTATCTCCATTCTTCGTTTTTCTTGGTTGACATTGATTTCTGTTAACAGGGACGTCTTCTCTGCCCATTTAAGAGTCCGATGCCATCAATAAAATAGTACATTGGAAAATTTAAAAAACAGTGAAATAAAGTAAAAGTATTATTTTGCAATATATTTACATAAAATGTCAAAATTATAAAATATGTGTGGTGTTTAGTGACCGATAGTTAACGATTATTTGGAGATCGTGAGATGAGGTGTGGTGTGACGTAGGTTTAGAAAAACATTTTCTTTATCGTGCCAACGTTTCGATCTTTATTGAGATCATTTTCAGGGCCCGGGATTTATAAACATTGTTTAAATTATACAAATACATGTAGGATGTGAAAAAATGAAATTATACAATGATAGAAATTTTAAACTCAATCAAAGTGTTTGTGTCAGAACTCAGAAAACAAATACTTACTGTGCACGCGCTGGTCGGTCGCAATAAAAATAAAATTAAATTAAATAAAAATACAAAATAAAATAAAATACAAAATAAAATACTAACTTGGTAACTGTGGCTTGATTTTCTCGACAACCAGGGAGGAGAGCCGTTTAATAGCTAGAACAGGGGTGCTCAAACTTGAACTGCTGGCGATCTACCTCAATATTTTTAGACTACNAGGAAACCATGCTCAACATAAGCAAATAAATCGTAAGAGATTAAAACTTGAAAATAACCATACTAATGGCTGGAGTTGACAAGATCAATTTCTTTGCATTTTATTTAAACATCAAAAAGAACTCGTTGACGGGACTAGCTGAAGCTGGTTGTTCCATTCTCCCAACTGCACAATAAGTGCTTCATGCTCATTGGCTGTTGCTTAGTCGGCAATGTGGAAGTTGTGGTAACGTCTGATGGAGCCATGGTCATCACAACAAAATATCTGAAATCACAATCGATCATTACCAACTTCCTCTACTATTCATCTACTATTCCTCCAAATAAAGGAATAGTTGATTTTTGTTTAATAGTTAAGACTTAAAAACTAAACATTAAAAAGTAACAGATAAAACCAGCAACTATGCATTGAATCGCGCTATGTACATCAAAAAAAGACATAATTATTTGGAGATCGTGAGGTAAATGCTACCTCTAACTAAGTACTCCAGAAGCGATGAAGCCAAATTCCGGCCCGGAGGACCAAATTTTATGTGGACGCGCTGGTCGGTCGCAATAAAATAAAAATACAAATAAAATGAAATACTAACTTGTTAACTGTGGCTTGATTTTCTCGACAACCAGGGAGGAGAGCCGTTTAATAGCTAGAACCTGCAATAACTCTGGCCAAAGGTAAAACAGAATCCTAGTCTATTAATTACCTTCGGGGCTCCGTCCGAACCCTGTATGATGTGTCGCATTAAGGATGCGGGAGGAGACACTCACGTTATTTTGAACGCGATAATTAACAAAACGAAAAAAAAAGATTCTTGAAAATAAGAGAAAAACTGAAAGAAAACTAAAAGAAAATCACTCTTGGAGGCTAATTAATAATGGACTGTATGGAAGCGAGACGGAAGCAAACTGGACTAGAACAGGACTAGGCAGCAACAGGACAGGATTGTGGGGAGGGAACAGAGCTAGGATAAATTCTAGATTAGCGGCATTTCGGAAACAAATAAACAATTATAACTCGCGATTTTTGGCGCGAACACTTACAAATACAAATACTTACGAGCACAAATACATTGATTGAATATAAAATTTTCTAGCATTGTATAAATTCATTTTTTTTCACATCTTACATGTATTTGTATAATTTGAACAATGTTTATAAATCCCAGGCTCTGCAGATGATCTCAATAAAAATCGAAACGTTGGCACGATAAAGAAAATTTTTTTCTAAATCGTAGGTCACACCAGACCGCATCTCACGATCCTCAAATAATCATAATAAATTATAATTTGTTATTCACTGGTAGATAGAACATAAAGATGAAATCTACCCAAAAATTTATTAGTGTTTAGAAACGCCCAGGTTTTGTGGAATCAGCACATTACCATTAGTAAAAATGTATGTCTATAAACTAAATAATAGTTCAGATTTGTGTTCAGTTATGACACATTTGTTTTCCTTTGCTACTCTGCTAAATAAAACTTAGAGCTCTCTTGGAAAAATGAGCATGTATATAATGTGTGTGGAAATTTGATCTTTTTATTATAATTCCTATGTAAATTGTATTTTATCAAAACTTTGTTTTTTATAAATTAGAAGCCAGCTTAAAAAACAAAATTTTAACCATCTGTTTCAATTATTAAATTGAAGTAATATGTAAATTTTAAAAAGTTTACTATGCCTTTAGAAATCAATCCAGCACACAATATAAATTTAAAAGATTATGTCATCAAAATTAACCAGTATTGATTTAAACTCAAATACGAATTTCGTAGATATTGGATATTTAGATAGAACCAAATGGTGGAAGAGAAGTTCACGGAATTAACCACTTATAAGAAAAAATGATTTCAATCATAATAATGTGATGAAGGTAACGATTTTAATTTTAACTAATACAACGTGGTAATATCGGTTATCCGAATATTAATTACGTGTCAATTTTGGTATATGAGTCGTATATAACAGTGAACGTTTTTAAAGGATTTTAGTTGTTGAAAACCAATTGTCCGCATGCTCCTGTTCAAAAAAATCTGTGGACTCATTTGTTGTTTGAAATGTTTTGAAACAATGGATATTTTCTCAGACTTAAAGATTGTGAATTGATCGCGTCTTACACGGCCAAGAAGTGAAATGTAGAGTACTTTTGAAATAAGCCCTGAAACTTGTTGGCGTCGTATAAGCAACCAAGAATATACGCAGGCACCGTGGGTTTTTCTGTACGGCGGAGGAAAATGTACACTGGTGTGGAAAATGAACTTTTAAAATTCTGATTTATTTTATTTGTAATTTAGTAATTTCCAAAATATGTGTGCCGCAACATAAACCATTATCGGCGAGATAAGATGGAGTGTCTTTATGGCCCGAATAGAACTGCTTGCTGACATCAATTCGCCAAAATAGTCATCAAACAGGAAGAAATGCGCTGGAGACTTTTGGGAGAACATTTGCGCACTCGATAACACTGCGTACACATACCCTTGACAGTACAAAGCACTACCTTCTTCTCCCGTTACGTACAAATCTTCAGTGGCGTTGGTGACACACACAGTTCCGTTTGGAATAAGCTCATCCGCGTGAGTCGGCCAAACTGATTGACAGTCCTTCCACGGTTTAACTGTGCTCACTTGCAAAGAATTCGAGCGAAATATTTTAAATGAATAATCGGCTGATTGCTCTATCAAATTCCAACCCGCGCTTATGCACTCTTTTTTTCTACTTATTATATCATTCCACGATTTTCTGAATACCTGCGGGTCTCTCGATATGACAGGAATTGGTTGGATTCTTCTTGACAGTCTAAACGGTTGTTCTAAGTAGCCTACACCAATGTCATCGAGTAAAATATTTGTTCCATTTATGTATCCGTATTTCGGGGAAATTTTGTACTCTTTTATAACTTCACATTGGCCCGAACTCCTTTTATTAGACCCGGCACACGCCTTCGCCCTGTTCAAGTCGATGTAACTTATCTTAATATTGTTCTTCCACATCACCAAGCAGTGAGCAGCCGTCGCGAATTTACTTTCTGTTATAATCATCAGTGTGCACGAATGTACGTTGTTATTTATAAACCAACCCATAAACGACAATTCACCGTCTTTAGCGGTCCTGGCTGTTTCAACACGTTGCATACATAGCGTGACACCGATTCCCAGAAGTGCGGCCCAAATAAACATAACATTACAGTGATTTTAAATTTAGAGAGTGAAATTTGTCAAAACGGTGTAAATCGTGGAGCTCAAATGATTGTATTCTAGTCATATGACAAATTTGTGAGAGAAAATCGTCTTACTAGCATGAGTGTCTCAGCTTTACTGGCTGAAAATCTTGCAGCAGACTTTCTTATTCTTCGACGATGTGCAAACTAGTTTCCGACGACAGTAAGTTACTGGAGCGTTTATGGCCAACGAAGCCTTTTCTATCAAGTTTTTTCTTCTTCTTGAGAACCGTCATCAATTTAATAATAAATTCTTGGTTCCAAAAACATAAGTAAGGTATGTCGATTCAAACACCAATTTTTGTGAACAAATTTTTATTATAAATTTGTTACTATTTAGTTTACTTATGGATTATATGTTAACCAAGTATACATTTAATGACATATACATAAAGTAGAATCGGTGGGACGAAAACGAGTACCTTAGTGGGTTTAACTGAAGTGCCATGTGAGATGTTTAATTCTTTAATGAAGTCCGCCAAAAGAACAAGACGCCCTGGACGTCTTTCGTTCATTAATCCTACATCCGACATGACGGCGTACCATTTCCCGTTGCAATATAGAGCACTTCCTTCTTCACTTACTCTTGTCAACTCAGTTCTATCACAGGAAATACAAATACCACCGAACGAAACCATGTTTTCTCTGTCACGGTCAGCGGCTCTACATTTGGTGTCATTCCACGGTTGAACGTTACTCAAGTGAATATAGTCCTCCACATAAAAGCTGTGTTCATATTCAGAGGTCACCGTTACCACACTCCAGCCCATGGTGATACATGTTGTTCCTGTGTTTACTATATCATCCCATGATTTTTTGAACACCACCGGGTCAGGTGATACGATAGTAACGGGCATGATAGTTTTTGAGAGTTCAAAAGGTTCTTCTAAATGTCCAACACCAATGTCAGCTAAATAAATATGCGATCGCGATCCACGTGCGTAGTTTTTTGAAACCTTGTACTCTAGAATATTTCTACAGTAACCACTTCTGAGTTTACGAGATCCGGCACACGCCTCCACACGGCTCAAATCGAGGAATACTTGTATGTTATCCCAATCCCACGACATTAAGCAGTGAGCTGCCGTCACAAATTTTCTTGTCGATATTATCACCAATGCGCACGTTTGTATATTACTTCGATTCATATAACCCATGAATGGGAATTCTTCTTTGTAAGCCGACCTGAAGGTTTCAACAGGTTGCGTACAAATTGTTGTTACTATACCAAGCACTACCGTCACTAGAAACATAATTTCAATATGTAAATGGTTTGAAGAATATTTCTTTAAATTACCTGAAAATGTCAACAAAAATTCAAGCCTATATCATTTTAATCATGTATAAAGACATGTGTCATAGTCAATATGGGAAAGACAAATCCACATCTGGCTAAGTAACCATCTTTCTTATAAAAAAAAAAAAGAATAATGACCGCAATATGAAAGCATCATCCTCGCCCCTGTTATTAATCTCAAATCGAATCCTTTATTTCCCTCAAAATATATTTTTCTAATAAAAGACAAACATATCCAACAAATGTAACAAGAAAGTACTTTTCTGTACGTACAAGCCTGTGTAAAGTTTAAAAATTAACTGTGTAAAATTTTCGTTCAATAGAAAAACACATGTTGCAAAATAAATTAATTACAACAGTGGCATTAAATCTGAAGTATTCTAATACTGAGCATCTAGAAGATCTGGGAATAAATATTTGGTGAACTTTTTTTCTTAAACTGCAGGTCATAATGAAAACTATTGGTTACTACTAAGAACGAACTGAGCTTTTTAAATACTAAGCAAATCCTTTTTTTGTGTATTTTTAAATACAAATACTGAACCATGCAAATACTAAATGTTAAATACGATTATAGAATGAACGAATATGAAATATGAATATACGAATATGAAATGCAGATATAGAAATATGAATCTCTCTTCGCCATTGAGACGAAAATGTGGTTTCGTTTGAACGCTTCAGGGAAAACTGTGTACTGTCTGAACAATGCAGTTGGAATCGGGACCGAAATGTACAGGATGGGGTAGTCTCAAGAGGGGGTATTTTGCCGGGGGTGTGGAAGGGTGGAGGGATGTTTTCGCCGGTTGGAGATTCAGTGAGTGGTGTGCTTTGGTCCAGCCAACATCCGTATCGCCATGTAACAATTACAAAATTCGGCAACAATGACCGTGTACGCAACAATTGTCTTCGTCGTCGCCTTCATTCACTGTGAGTCATTAATCGCAAAAATGTCATAAAAATATAAACACCAATAATAAAAAATGTGATCAAAAATAGACTTTTTCTCGTAAAATGTCCATTGATAGAAATAAATTAAAATTGTATGCTAGATTATTTTAATTTGTTGAAAATTGATAATACTTAGTAAAAAAAAATTAAAATAAATAGCATAAAAATACTTTTTGAATTTACAATATTATCAATTTTGAAGTGATATTTGTAACGGTTTAGAATTATAGTTCTGAAAATGGCAGCCTACATTCTACATAATTGTTTCATTACAAAAGCATGCACGGATTTATTTTATCAAAAATATTGCATAAACATTTATCACAAAATTTTACGAAACGAAAGAGCTAATTCGATTTGGGTTCCACGTTTAGTCCTAGGGTTAAAATAATATTGGAAAAAGCGAGAAAGTTTAATGTCGCAAGAAGAAATACTGGCCAAGGCGTACATAAATTTGGCCCGATAATAAACAATATGTGTTAATTCAACATTCATTCACAAACAGTAGTAACCATAGACATATATTGAATTTCTCAATAATTTCAATGAGTGGAACGTTTTGATATGAACAGTGTTAATTTATTTCCATAATTTCTTCATCATCAAAATTAAAGTTCAATTTATATCAATTGTTTTATTTTAAAAAAGTAGAAAACCCGTTTATCCAAAACTACAGCAAAAATTAATTTAATATTTTTATCCGTAATTTTTGATCAATTTAAATCATTTGAAAATCTTATTTTGACATGAACAATGTTGATATTTATTAACAATTAATAATATAAATTCTGATCAATCTTTTTTATATTTTATTCTTTTAGTGAATATTTCCAGAATATTTTTTCGCATATATTTCATTGATTTGTTTAATAAATCAAAGCTTGTTTAAACTTTGTTTCGAAAAAAACTTTTTCAACCAATGAAATTTTATCATATAATAAACAAAAACCATGAATAATAAACATAAATGAAGAATAAATTCCGAATAAATAACAAAACTGGTCGTGACTATTTTTGAAACATGAAATTAACATTAAACAATAAAAATATATAAATATATTTATTTATATTATAGAAGATAAATTATTCAATTAATATTCATAATTCATTTTCCGTTTGAATATTTACAACATATTTGCATTATTTTATCACTATCATAAAAAAACTCAAAGACAAAAACTGGACACTGGAAGTATTTTGTTGCTTGTTTCAAAATATATGTATTTTTATCGTTACATTAATTGTAACATACATTAATGTAACACAATATTAATGTAAAACAAATTAAACGAGAGAATTTCCGAAATTCATGAAGTAATAACAATTATTTAATTATGACGATTTGAAATATAATTCACCAAAGCTCCTGAAAATTATTTAGTGACAGATTAAAATTTAACTTTGTTTACCTAGTTTTACTCTTAATGCGACATTGTGACCAAACCAGGTATTAAATTGTTAGTCAGATTTATTCTATTAATTTCCCGTCTTTTGATGAATTTTCTTTCAAACGATCATAGTTAAAGGTTTTTATTGAATGTCAGGAATTTCTGATCTTTATCTGAACAAATTAATTTTACATTAATTGTGTGGTGTTTAGCGACCGTTAATTAATGATTATTTGCAGATAGTGAGATTACCTCTCAACACGACACACAATAATGACACATCTGCACAGAAAACAAACATAATAAAGATCGAAACGTTGGCACGATAGAGAAAATGTTTTACTGAACCTACCTCACATCAGACCGCATCTCACGAAATTTTTATTAAATGTTGTAAATAATATAATGATAAAAATAAATTTACTCTGAAATGAACAACAAAATACAAGTGTCCGGTTTTTTTATTTGAATAAATTTATAAATGTACATATATTTTATAAAGTACTTAACTTTGTGCATCTTATTGTAGCTAGTGATAATTATTATNAATTTTAAAATTTAATCAATATTATAACAATAAACTTCGTACTTACCTAACAAATCAATACTATTGGTTCCCAGTTGTTTGTTACACCTATCTTTGTAAACTCCACCGAAACCAATAAAAAAACAGTAGTTAAATTTACTAATTAAAACTGGGATTTTGTATTCAGATTGGTTTCGTGCATTGGTCGGGTAACACATCAGTTCTAAATACACTAAGTTTAGAGGCAAATGAAGTGTAATGAGAAACGCACAGATCAAAGCTGAACTGATTAATCATTTCGACCTACAGATCACCGTCGCTTCGATAAACTCCTCTAATTACTATAATATTTGCGCAGGATTTAAATGAGGTGTGATCGAATGGTTTTGTTTATCTTTTTTTTACTGGTTTTATGGTTAACTGTTTTATAAACATCTTTGAGGTACACAGACAGATTTCAGGTACTTTAGTTAAAGCAAATAAAATTTTACTAAAACAAATCAAAATGAACTTTAAATTTTGGTGACCTTCTTTACTACTACTTAATGAATTTCAATTATCAAACTGATATATCCTAATAAATTATCTTCAACTTATTGAGAACCGTAAATAATATCGTCCGCTATAAATTTTTCATAGAGAAACCAGAAGAATTATCAGTTAAGCAACTCCAACATAATTTAAAAAATATTGACTCGTGACAATGCAAAAAATTAATAAAACAAACATTTCATCACAAGATCGTGGGCACAATGTCATGGTAAGAACTCAATTTTATCTTGTACTTTTTCATTCATTTGTAGAAAAGTATTATATATTCTAATTTATTGTTTTGAAAGATAAAGAAACCAAATAAATGCTATATTTTTATAAGCCTATATAATATATAATAAATACTAATTTGAGTTATATAGCTACATTATTAAGTTGTAAATTTGCCTTCAAATTTTATTTTAACGAACATTTGTCAGACCAAAACGTCCTTTTAAATATTTTTTATATTAAACTTAAATTGTCTCAATCTGTGAAAAATAATAGGCGAACAATCGTAGAGAGCAATGCTTTTTAAAACTCCTAAGCGCGGAGAAATATTTGTTTTTGAATTTAAAAAAAGTGTAAAAAATTTGGTAAGAACTTTATGTTGTTGTTAAAAATTATCGATTCACTATTTTTAAAAGCCTCGAACTACTAATATATACTATGCTAAGCAAAGTACAACAAAAATAGTTTAATTGAAATAAATTAAATAGATTTTGTGAAAATTGTACCGAAAAATTACATTTGCAACTTTTTCCCTCTCTTTGAACAAATTAAAGACCATAAAAAATTGCGGAAATACGGTATAATTTTAAAGTTAGTCACTTCGTCAAGACTGTAGTGAAAAACTAATGCCTATCAAAGTTAAAATCAATAAGTATAGTTAAGCCAAAACAAATTTCCAAAGAAAAAATCTGATCATGTATACTGTTCATTCTTTTTTTTTTCTTGATAACATTTCATGCTTTGTTGATAAAGTACTGTTCATGGAAAAGACAGGATCCAACAAGACTAACTTAATAATTCAGTGGTATATCCGTATGCATTCAAATTACATACGAACCTCTATATAAAAATGCTCGAAAACAAAATACACAAAATTGACCGAATGAAGATTACAAAATTCAAATTTACTTATTACATAAACTGGTTTTACGTTTACAAAAATTAAAAAAAACACTAACTACCAAGCAATTACTTGTTTTTAATTTAATCTAGGCATTGCCGAGGATTATTTAACAGACTGACATGTGCCTCTGGAGAGAGCTGCCGAGCTGAATAATTTGTACGGAATGTATAACTTGTAGGAAAGGTCTGAGGCGGTAAAATAGAACAAAAAGAGGGTCAGAATGTCCCCTTGGGAGAACGGAGAGACTATTAGTTTGAATCGCGTATTACCAATTTGTTACAAACGTAAATTAGAAATAAATTATTGAATTACAATAAATAACTTCAAAATACAATAAATGTTTGCGGTTTTATAAAATGGGATATGGAGAAATAGATTTTCTGATTAATATATTTTTTACCGAAATTTGTTTAAATCGAATGAAATTATTTGATCATAAAAATCAATACGCGAATATAGATGTGTTCGTAGAAAGTCTTCCTGTGTTCTTTGCAGACAAATGTACTTTCTTACAGAAACTAAGGAAAACTTATAAAAACCAAATAGTGTATAAAAACTCTTACAAAGTACTTTATTAAAATTCACTCCCGTTATTACATAAAAATGAATAAAATACGTTAAATTAGTTAACAACTATTGTAAATAAAATATAGCATAAAATAATACTTCTGAATAACGTAGTACAACATAACAAAATCCTGTGTTCGAGGATTAAATCAAACCAGATTTAGATTTGTTTTCCAATGAAACTGCTCTAATCCCATCCTCCTACGAACAGTTAAAAGGTCAGTAAAAAAAACCAAATGAAATGGAAAAACAAATACATTGTTTTTTTAATGATTACGAAATAATACTCGTCGAAGATCAATCCGCTAGCAGGGGTAATTTTTTCAACTCTCAGCAAAAATACGCCGAGTGGAGTAATTGAAAACATTCGTACGCATAAAATGAAATAATTTATCTGGCTTCACAAGAGGGAGAAAATGAGATATATAGAGAACGACAGAAATACATTTTCTCAAATTCACTACACCCCCATTCACTCATATCCT